AGAGGCCCAATGTTTCATCCTTGTTCTCTACTTCATGCTTCTGTTCTATTTTGCTTTAATGAGTAATGTTTCTATTATATGTTCACCTGCAAACTTCAACATCTGACATTTTAACAATCATATTTTTAGCCAGTTCTTCTGAGACATAGTTAGCTCAGTGGCTAACACATTCACTAGAGAGAAACATGTTCAATGCTATCTGTTCTTCCTTTAGCTGTGTGGACTATAGACAAATTAATTCAGCTTGCTGTGGCTCAGTTTTCTTATCCATATATGAAGGTAAACACCTATTGCATAGTAATTTTTGTTTCTTTTTAAGATTACCTGCTATTTTTACATATATAAATACTTATAATTCTGACTGGCACACAGTAATTACCTAAGTAGTAATAGCTCATATTAGCTCTTAATCATCTCATTTGCAGCTACATTTTAAGACCATTTTGACCAGCATTCTGTAGTAACATTTTTAGCTTTCCCAGAATATCTCTTTTTTTTATTTTCAGTGGGACTAGAGTCTGAATTCAGGGCACTTCCAGTTATAACATGCAGAGTTCATTCATTCATTTAATTTTCCTGTTTTGTACTATAACTCTTTTGGGGTGAGAACATTGTATGTATATATACCAGTGCCCCAAAATTATTTTAGTTGCTTTGATGTTGTACTTTAAATTGACTTTCCAATAGAAGAAGAAAAAAAAGAAAAGATAGATAGATAGACAGATAGATAGATAAATAGATGGATATAGATATATAGATATATACATTCAACTCATTAGGCCATAGTGAATTGAACTGAGAAATTACTTAAGTGATGAAGGATCAGAGTAAAATCAAATTGTACCTGTGTTTTCCATAATCAATAACCTTTCCATTTTTCCCAAACTTGCAATGCAAAGACAAAAGGACTTCCATAAAGAACATTTTATTAATTTATAACCTTCCTTAACCTATTTGAAAAATAGCACCTTAATCCCAGATCTTACATTAGTACCCGAATTTATAAAATCTGCTTCAGAGATTATGTAATGTCATGATATGCTTAAATTAAGGAATACTATTGGTTTATGAAAATAGTCATTTAATTATTGATTTAAAATGTAAATGACCCCATTAGCATTCCAGTTTTTTCTCCTTTTCCTTCTTTGTTATGCAATGTGTAAATATGCTCAGAACCACTGTGCACAGAGATAGTGGTTCAGTTGGCTTGTCTCCCTGCAGCTCTTGTTATCAAGTTTACATAAAAGAAGCTTCTGGCAGTTTTCTGAATCTACAGCAACATAAGGGTTGTTTCTTCCATATTACATTATTATTACAAATTTTACAGCTGTTCATTTTCCACTTATAAGTAGTGCTACATTAATTTTTATCCTAAGTTTTTTCTTTAATTTATAATACATTTTACACATCATGTTAAAAGTTTCAAATACATGAACATTTTTGTGTCCCTTGATGTGCACTGTATATGCACTATATGTGCACTGTTAGATTTTCCTTCAGTATACTTTCAGCAGCCTGGATGAAGCAAGTCTGGTCTTAAGTTCCTCTTCTCTGATGTGAACAACTTCATGTCTGCATGGTTTTCCTACTATAGTATCTTTTATTTGGTGCTGAGGAGGCTTCCCAAAAGTAATCAGGAGTGGTGATTTCACTTCAACTGTACTCGTTGTACACTTTGCTAAGTTCTACTAGCATTATTTAGCTCATTTGAATCTTGTGATTAAGAAAACTTTCTTCCTAGTTTCATCTCATGTAAGATTTCTTTATTTTTGGAAAAAGTCCTTTTAAAACACATATAGACAACACTGATAAATTTCTATTCCCTTTATACTTATTCACTCAATTACTTACTCTGAGATCAGGTGCTGGGATGTAACAGGAACTAAGCTGGATGCTAGAGATTCAGCGGTTAAAAAAGCAGTTCCAGGTTCCATGTGAATTCCTGGAGAGCTTTCTATCCAACCACTTTCAGTACCTTCCTCTCCTCTAGTTATGTTACTGAACTAGTAACATAACTAAAATTATATACATATATTCATTTTTCTCAAGGCCTCATGCTTACCAGACAGGCGCCGTATCACTTTACCCATGTCCTCGACCCCTCTTATGCTTTGTTTTTATAATTTTCTCCACTGGGCTCTTGACCTTTTGCCCAGGGCCAGCCTCAGACACACTCTTTAACCTATGGTCTCTCTCATAGATGGGGAGACAGGTATGTACCACTACACCAGGCTTATTTGTTGAGATAGGGTTCCTCTAACTTTTTTTTCCTGGGCTGGCTTCAAACCACGCTCTCTGATATCTGCTTCCCGAGTAGCTGGGTTTACAGGTATGAGCTGTCATGCCTGGCCAGAATCAAATTTTAGAGAGGTTCTTGAATCTTCACTCTGTTTAAGATTGTCATACACTTCTACCCGCCGTTAAAAGTATTTCCTGTAATTTTGCTTAGGTTAGGTGCATCTTGCTTAGGTTACGTTAAGTGCCCAACTATGGCTATCATTTGTGTTCTGACATGTTATAAATTCTAGAAAAGTGATTTTTCCACTAATTCCTCTCCACATCGCTTCACCTCCAGATTCCTCAAAACTCATACTCCACATTTTGGATTAGTTTGTTCTAGTTTCCTGTGCTCTTTCAGGGAAGGAGTTTGCCTGAGACAGCAGAAGAGGGATTGCAGCTATTCTAAGTTTGGGATTTTGGATTTCCTATCCCTTTTATCATTTCCTTTTTGTAAATGACTCAGAACCTTCAGGGTTAGAATTAATATTTACCTCAAGGGTGCTATGGAAGGACTTGGACTAAAATAACTTTTAGGTAAGTACCAAGGAAGTATTATTTATCCATCAGTTTACCAAGTATTTTCTTGAGCTCTGTTATGCTCCAAACACTGTGATAGGCCTTTCATCTGTTCCACCTGCTCAGTATACCCTAAGTCAATCTTTCATTATTACTTATCAAATCTAAATGCCAACATATCTATCACTTAATAAGTTATTATATTCATTTTATTATAATGTATACTTAATCATGGCTTCTAAATTCCTAAAGCAATGAAAATAATCTGGCTAGATGATGTTAGTTGTTCAAAAAAGGTTTAGAAAGGTTTAGAAATTACTAAACCTTTATTACTCTTCTATTAATAAGGCTTTTAGCATAGCTGGTTCATTAAAAGTCTTTAACAAGTATCAAATCATTTTAATATAAACTATTGGACATTGATCACTTGATCAGAATAAAACCTTAATTATTAAATGTAAAATCTAATAGCTATTTTAATATTTGTTTTCACTCAACAAAAGTGACAACATTACTTTTATTTTTAGTGTATTTTTTCAAATTTGAATAGTCAGTGGAATAAAGTATACTTTAAAATTGTCTTTAATTCACAGACTCCAGACAAGAAAACTAGAGCAAGTCAATAACTTGCCTTCTGTGAGAAGTGCATCATCCATATTAAATTCTGATTAAAGTATATCTACTTTGTTCTCAAAATTAAACAAAAATTCTGTTCTGTGACTTCTGAAGATAATTGAAATCCTATATACTTAGGGTTTCTTTTTCTAATTATGATATTAATATTCCCTGCTAATATTGAGAACTGTTCTTTCATTTTCTGAAATGAAATTCACTGATTCCTCACAATTCTTACAATGTATGTTTACATATTTGAGAGCATTCCAAGTTCTTCATGTTCCTTTTAAGCCATAAAAAAGATTAAGCATCTCATTTATTAGATTGGTACAAGGCTTTTGAATTACTTTGCCAGTTATAGCGGTTATAGAATTTTAAAACTAATAGCATCCATTTCATTACTGCCCTGTTTAGGGAAAAACAAAAAGTCCACTTGCACTGTTATACAGGATGTATGCTTTTTTGACAGAAAGAATCAGGAAATAAATGATAAAAAATGATAAAAAAGTAAAGTAGCCAAAATAATAAAAATAAGAAATATTTAATAATAAATGCATTTAACACTTAAAAATTTAGGAAGAAAATGAGAGAGAAGTTTTTGACTTGATTTTTGAAAACTAAGGTGGAGCTGAAAGGAGGAAAACTGTTTATCAAATTGAAAGCAATGTATTGACTTTTCATAAACACTTATGATGACTGTAATGTCACCAATACTCATTACATTTGTGATTGGGCAAGGAAGTTAAATGATGGAATGAAGAGAGTGATGGTAGATTGTGAGTTGCCAGGAAACAGAAACCCTTCTTACTTATCAGTTTCCCCTTAACTTTTTTTTTTTACATGTTATGGATGCTCAAAAACATCTCCTGAGAAGTAGGCAGGAGATGAGACAATGAGACATCCCTTGAGCTCCAAACTGATGAGTCTCTACTGGGGAAATCTCTTCTGTTTCCATTACTCTTGAATCCATCACTGTTCTTTCTGCTTTCCCTTCTCTGTGTCCAATTACTGTCTTTCATGTTGCCACAGCAGGCCCAAATATTTCTACTGGAAATTTTGTCTAATAAACCACAATAGGCAGCATTTTATTGCAATCAGTTTCACCTACCCTCATCATTCCACTTTCCATGATAAAACTCTTGTCTTCCTGCCTGTTTTTATTTTACTTTCTCTGATGTATAAATTGCCAGTACTAATTAAAAGCATTTTAAGTAGGGTGTGCCCATGAGATAATTTTTTCATGTACTTAGTTTTTGTGTCACATACATCATTTGTATCTTATATGATATGTATACATCTATAGACAAATTATGAGTGCATATGTTTTTGTTTTATCACATCTTCTTATACAATCTAATAATTATCTAAATCCTTTCCTGAAAGACTATTCTCTTAAATTTAGTATAGGATTTCATATATTAAGATCATTTTTATAATTTTATATTCAAGATGAAGATAATAATGAATACTTTTTAGTTTAGAAGGATGTATTTTTCTGGAATTAATAAAATTGTAACACAATTTTGTCTGTGGGTTACTATGTATATTAATAGGTATGCGTATACATTTCTTTATTTTCTATTTTAAAGGGTCACATAATAGCATCGTGTGATTCCTGTGGGGTTTTAAAATTGTGGGACTTTCGGAAGCTTTTACCAATTGTATCCATTGATGTTGGTCCAAGCCCTGGCAATGAGGTGAACTTTGATTCAACAGGTAGGATCCTTTCTGTTTAAATCTTGTGATTAAGGTTGCCACATTAATATTTGTTTTGGAACTATTTTGTTTCCCCTTAAGTTCTTTGGTAGTTCTGCCTATGAAAATTTGTTTTATCTGTGCTATATATCGTATGTCATATCAAAAGAATTATATTCATTATATATTTAAAGAAAGAAGTAATAGAAATGTGTGTGTTAATGTTGATAATACAGGTTAGCTTGCAGTGCCATGTAAATCTGATAACTCACATTACTTAGTATCACCATCCAGGGTAAGCAAATCGGGTTTTCTATAGCAAAAGGAACAGAGAACAGAGAACAAAGAAAAACAACAATCTGGTAAAAAGAACTTCCAACATTTTAATGAAATATTTCGTTCATAAAAATTTAATAAACTCTCCCATATTGGCTAGGTTTTTATAAATTATTTGAAATATACATTCATCTTATTGTTACAGTTGTGTGCTCTGAATTCTCTAATGTTATTTGATGATGTTTAGCATGCTCCTGAAATTATATAAATATTATAACTCAGATAAAATATTTTATTCTTGCTGGTGATGAATAGCATTGCTGCTGCTATTAGCAACCTTATTCATTCAAATTGCCCATTTAGGAAATGAAAAATACAGTTTCATCTATATCTTCAATGAAGACCCTCCAAAGAAAGAATGGACAATGTGATACATGTTTTAAACATTCTGAAGTTTTAAGAAAATTTAAAATCTTTGAATGCTACTTGTGGTTGATCAAAGTTGTGGTGATGGGAAAAGCTTTAATTTTCATTGAAGAAATAAACACTTTATATGAAAGAAAGAGTAATATTTTATTTTTTATTCATTTATTCATATTTGCATACAATATTTTATTTTTAAAACAGTCCTTACTAATTCTGTACTCCAGAAAACATAAATAGTCTTTAAGTAAATCTAACTCCATGAGATAATTGTTGTGTTTTTCTTGGTACTCATTTGATGTTTTTGTCATCATACATCTGACATTTCTAAAATGGTAGGTTTATCTTCTCAAACTTGAAGCTGCATTCCCATCAGTGTATAAAGCACACTAAAAACAATGGCTCCTTCAGAAATGTTTTTCGTTGCCAGGTATGATAGTGCATACCTGTAAGTCCAGCAGTAGGGAGGTTGAGGCAGGGGATGGTGAGTTTGAAGCCAGCCTGGGCTGCATACCAAGACCCTTTAAAAAAACCAATAAAAATGTTTTTAAGTAATACTCTTGACGTTAAGACATTTATGGTCCAGCAGAATTCAAAAAGCAAACATTGACATCACAGCTCTTAAAGGAACTTTAACCTGGTTTTTGTAATTATCTCATGTCACTAAATCCCTTAATATTCTGAGTGAGCATTTGAGTACTCGTGCCTTTAAATTTTGAACTTTGAAATTTAAAACATTTGGCTGTATTTTCTAATAGTAGAAGTGAAAGACTTAAAATATTGTACAACAAAAAAATAGCTGTGCATTTTATTGTTGTGAAATATTTCCACTTGCTTTTTACAGAGTGTGTCATTCAGGTGGAAAGTTCTTTGTATAGTCAGGCAAATTTGATTTCAAATATCAGTATCTATCTCTGTCATACAACTCAATATAGTGCTAAAATCCTTGGTACAGTAGACTTTTTTTTTCTCTCCATGACTGTTATATTCCTGGTCATACACTGATATTAAGAAAAGTGTGCAAAACCAAAGGTGGAACAATGAGAAGCATAGAAGACAGAGTGTGAACTAGAGACCCTGTCAATGAAAACACTATCAATCTAGGGGAAGAGAATCTCAAACTGACCTTCCCTTCCTTTGCCCATTTCTTCAAGGAACATATTATAATTAATTTTAATTCTAGGTGTTTGAGAAATTACTGTCATAAGTCTTTTCTTATTGAATAATGAGAAATCTGTGCTTCTGTACAGATGTCCTCAATGACTCTTCATTTAAAAAGGTTAAAATATATCAAAAGTTGGAGAAAGTAAGGCGAGCAAACAAGGTCTAATGACAGCATAAGTAGATAAGTGAAAGTCACAAAGTAAAGCACACAAAATTATGTTCATCTCAGGAGAGTGTAGATGAGTGCAAGTACAGAGCCAGACCAAATTGAAATTTGGATATGAATACACACATCTCTTCTAATTGGTATTTATTCAGGAAAAAATATTTAAAAGAGAAATGTAACAAAATTAAATTGTGAAAATATCTGAATATAAAGATAAAATCACCCTGTCTTAAAAACTCAAAATATGAATTCATTTGAGCATAATTTTCTTTATTTCCAGTGGCAAGCCAATGCAAGCCTACATGATAAAATAATTTTCCAAAACAGCAAGAGTATACAGACACTGATGACAATAAGGAACATTTATTGAGAGCTCATGTTAGCTACATTGTGCCAAACCATGTTTCCTACTCAAAATTCTGCGATTGAGTTATATTGTTCAGTTATGCACACCCAGACCATTGTCACAGCTTCTCTAATGTGAGGCGAGGATGTGGTCAGCTGTTTCAGCTGTGCTCTTGGACCTGAGGAAAAGTCATTAAAAACATACATGTGAAATCACTAGGAGATTATATAGTACCTGTGAATGTATGGATACCTCCTGTCTGAGATAGTTCATGAAAGAAATAAAAGTTTCATGTTTCATATCTCTGGATCAGTTAAATTGAAAGACATCTTGAATTATGAGGTTTGCTACTTAAAAGGAACTGTTTCTATAATAACTAATTTTATAAATAAGGGATTTCTTGTCACTGCAAATCTGACACAATATATATAAATAAATCAGAAGTAGACATCATAAAAAGCTGAAACTCTAGTCTACAAGAGTTGTTATTTAAAATTTTCACACATATCAAAATTGCCACATTAGCTTTTAAGCTTATATGCAAATATTTTGATTTTGGATCTTTAAAAGTAAACATGTTCTAATAATGGTACTTTATATGCTTTAAAATTGAGATACTTAATGGCATATTATTTTTAACATTTAACTTAAACATATTTGAAAATCAGAGGTTGGGGAAATAAATATACACTATAATTCAAACCCTTAGGTTTAATCACATCTTCAGCACCATTTAGAATTTAGGTTCTTTATTTAACTCCCTGAAATAACTTTCCTCATATGAGTAGTGAAGGAGATAATTGTCTTGGAGTGTTTTATGTGGATTCAAATTTATAATGGTAACCTACAGTAAGGAGCTCTCAGCATAGTCATCTAGATGCTTTATCCTCGAGCTGGAGGGGATCTGAGAGGTCAACTCATTCCCTTTACAAAGGAGAGAAGTAAGTCAACATGTCTGTGTGCCAGCAAGATGGCAGTGGCTCACTCCTGTAATATAAGCTGCTTGGAAGACTGAGTTTGGGAGGATCACCATTCGAGGGCATCCCAGGAAAAAATGTTTGTAAGACCCACATCAACTGAACATCAGGGTGTGGTAACACATCCTTATTATCTTAGGTTTGGTGGGAAGCCTAATATAGGGGGATCACAGGCCAGGCCAGCTTGGGCCAAAAAAATGAGACCCTTTCCCCAAAATAACCTTAGCAAAAAGGGTTAGAGACCTGGCTTAGGTGATAGAGCACCTGCCTAATAAGTATGAAATCCAGGGTTCAAATCCACCCCAGAACCACAAATAAGGAAAAAAAGATGCTCAAGTCTGTGTGCCACTGTAAGAGGTTTCCTCCTGTAGGGGAACACCAATGACTAAAAATAAAGAGATACACAGATCAAAACTTCATTCTCAACTAACATTAAAAATAATTGAAATGGTTAACTGCATAAATATATCAATATGACATAAACATATATACTTGAAATCGAAAGATTGGAAGATGTATGAACAACCACCACCGCACAGTTTAGCTTTTCTATTGTTGTATCAGCCACTCACACATTTAAAAGAGGAGTTGCTTGTGGTGTAACATTATTTACATAATGTTTTATTTGTAAATACATTGCTTGTGACAAATACAGATTATCTGTGTTTACAGATGTATACATATATTAATATATATTTATAACCCTGTATTTGTAAAAGGATAAGTGTTCCTTTCTCATTAAGCAGAGAGCCTCCTGGTAATATAAAAAAATTTTTTTTGTGAAGATTCACTATCTAAATAATATCTCTCACTTGGCATACTCAAAATGCCATATGTTTTACCATTCAAAAATTTATTGCTGTTTCAGAAAATGTTAAATGGAATTGTAGAGTGGAAGCAATAAAAATGAACTGTGAGAATTTATACATACCTTTTCCACATCTCTCATTTCACCACGTTTATGTAGTTTAACAATATTTTTTCTCTCCTTTGTAAAAGATAATTTCTGCACATTTGTAAGGAAGTCACATCCCTAGAAAGTGCAAAGGCTGAAATTTGAGCCAGATGGGGACTTTCCAGTAGAAAGATTGTCAGTATCCGATCATTAAAATGGGCAAAGTTCCCCACTATTTGGAGAAAATCCCAAATTTTTTCCAGAGGCAGAAACACAATAAAAATGTTCAGATGGGAGGCAAAAAATGTCATCATTGAAAAATAGGAAAGTATCAAACTTCCCCCTGACCCAATTTTTCAACACAAAATGGGATAACTCCAAGTTCTTAGGTTGAAGTTTGATTCATCAGTTTCTGTTACTAACGACTGCAGTGTATCATTTTGTATTTACTTATTTATTTTTTTAATTTAATTTTTTTTTAATTTTATTTTATTCATATGTGCATACAATGTTTGGGTCATCTCTCCTTCTTCTTCATGGCTGCATAAAATTCCATTGTGTATAGATACCACATTTTCTTGATCCATTCGTCAGTAGTGGGGCATCTTGGCTATTGCCATAACTTGGCTATTGTGAATAGTGCTGCAATAAACATGGGTATGCAGGTGCCTCTGGAGTAACCTGTGTCACAGTCTTTTGGGTATGTCCCCAAGACTGGTATTGCTGGATCAAATGGTAGATCAATATTTAGCTTTTTAAGTAGCCTCCAAATAT